AGAAGCAGAGGCAGCAGAACAGCTCGCAGCACTTTTTGCACCCTGCATGAACCTGCAGTCACATTTTCATGTGCTCAAGCAGAAGTGAGCCCCAAAAATCTTGCTGTCAACCACAAACGTAAGAATTTGTAGGGCACTCTGTTCCAGGCAAGGGCTTGGTGCAGAACAGATGAGTTACAATCATAGAATCATTAAGGTTGGAAAGACTACCAAAATTATCTAGTCCAATTGTCAGCCCATTCTCACCATGCCTACTAACCATGTCCCTTAGTGCCACATCTTCCCTCTTCTTGAACATTTCCAAGGATGCTGACTCTACCATCTCCCTGGGCAGCCTGTGCCAATGCCTCACCACTCTTTCTAAGAATAAACATTTCCTAATATCCAACCTGAGCCTCCCCTGGTGCAACTTGAGGTCATTCCCATGCATCCTGTTGCTGATAGCTGGGAGAAGATGCTGACTCCCACCACTCTACCACCTTCATTCAGACAGTTGTAGAGAGCAATAAGGTCTACACTCTGAGCCTTCTCTTCTCCAAATTAAATTATCTCATTTCTCTCAGCTGCTTTCCATAAGACCTTTATGTGCTCCAGAACCTATACAGCTCCACTGTCCTTCTCTAAACAGACTCCAGGGCTTCGATGTCCTTCTTGTAGTGTGGGGCCCACAGCTGAACAGAGTACTCAAGATGCGGCCTCACCAAAACTTAGCCCAGAGGGACAATCACGTCCCTACTCCTGCTGGCTTCACTATTCCTAACACAAGCCAAGATGCTTCTGGCCTTCCTGACCAACTAGGTGCACTACTGGTTCAGGTTCAGCCAAGCATCAACCAACACAAGCAGAACATTTTCATCCATGCAGCTCTCCAGCATCTCTGCCCCAATCCTGTAGTGATACATGGGCTTGCTGTGACCAAAATGGAGCACCCAGCACTTGGTCTTGTTGAAGCTCATACAATTGGCTTCAGCCCTGATCCTGCCTGTCCAAATCCCTCTAGAGGCCCCTCCTATCCTCAGGCAGATCAATTCTTCCTTCCCACCTTTGTGTCATCTGCAGTACTTTGATATTGTGTCTGACTATTAAAAAAAGAAGTAAAGAAGGCACTGACAAACTCAGTATTCTCTCATCCTCAGTGATAACATGTTCCTCACTACATCCAACAGAAGTGGGAGAGACTCACTGACCTCCCTCTAGCTGTTAATATATATTTGTATAACCACTTTTCTTTAACAATGGTGGCCAGATGAAGCTCTTGCCTGGCTTTTGCCTTTTGGAGTTGGAGCAGTGGCAGGCAGGAGAGCAGGCCAGATACCTGCGGCTGCCTGCACGCAGGGCCTCTTGTCTGCAGCCTGCTCCTCCAGCTCCAGGAGAGCTGAGATATGGCGCAGGGCTGCCGGGATCTGCTATGACCCCACTGCTCAACCTGAACCCAGACCCAGCCATGGCTGCACACCACAAACCACCTTGCTTTTGTACAAGTTTCATGTTTTCTGTGAGTGGTTTTCATGACTTCTCCAGGACTGGAGGGGGACGGATGCAGCGCTGAGTCAGCATGAAAACAAATATCTCCCCTGGGCGCTGCGTGCCTGGAGTGGGAGGAAAAACCCAGCCGTGGGCATGGCGGGGGGAAATTAGAGAGCTGGGTACCTGGTCTGGGGAGGAAGCAGCCTGATCTGACTTTGTGGGGGAACCAAACACTGGCAGATTGTGTCAAGGCACAGAAAAGTGGCAGAGCATGGTTGACAGAATGGCAGCACTGATGCTTTGAGTCCTGGTTCCCTTCTGTGCCTCCCAGTGCCTTTGGAAGGGGAGTTGTTCTGGAGAAGGAAAGAAGATAATCATATCCAGATTTAGGAAATAACATTTTGCACATAATTCTTAGTGGCTACCTAGAAAGATTGTTGGTTGAGTTTGCAGCTATAAATTTGGCAGAATAAATGGCAAACTGTGGTTGGCATATGGATGCAAAGCAGGAAGTAAGCTGTAGCTATACATTAACTAGAGAAAAGGAGAGCCTAAGAAACTTGGTTAATAAGCAGGCTAGAAAACAAACAGCAAGAAGGGGCAGCCAGCTCTGCAGACACATACACAACATCAGGGATTTGCATTAGGAACATTGGGGTCAATAAATAACAAGCCAGAACTGCATGTTGCTTACTGAGCCTTGCTTATCACCAAGAAGTCAGATGACTTCTCCTCATCCATGGAAAATGTGAGCACAGAGGGTGACACACAGTTTTGGGAAGAAACTTCCATTCTGTATGGAGAAACTCCATCTTCTAGGCCCAAAATAGCTGATGTTGAAACACAGCTTAAGTTGCAGCCAAGCAATCAACCAGGCAGCAGGAGGCAGGGCTGGGCTGGGAGCAAGGTGTTAGCAGTTGGTAGGTATGGCACAGGCTCTCCAGGGTAGTGGTCATTGCCCCAAGCTGTCAGAGCTCAAGGAGCTTTCGGTCAGTGCCATCAGACATAGGGTTTGGATTTTGGGTGGTGCTGTGCGTAGCCAGGAATTGGACTCAGCTTTCATCTCAGGATATTCTGTGGTTCTATTCCTATAGCACTGCTGTGCTCAGTCATAGGCACAGGTATAGAAACACACACACACACACACACACACAGAGTTAATATGTGACATCCCTCTCACTGGACCTAATGAAATTCTGGAGATCTGAGTCACACAGAAGTAACAAAATAAATGGAAAAAGCCAACACTCTGGATGTGTGAAATGCCAGAAGTCCTAATGCAAATAACCGAAGATTCCTGCTTGAAGCTTGAGATGGAAAGAAGAGGGCTGGATAACGTAGAATTTCTGCCAAAGGTAACTACAACTAAAGCACAGTAGCTTCCTGGCAGCTATCCCAGGAAGATGTTCAGACTCTCATTCTACCTGGCATCTACTTTCAAATCACTTTCAGCAAGGTAATTTAGGCTGGATGTCAGGAAGAAATTTTTTATACTAAGAGTGGTGAGGCAGTGGCACAAGTTGCCCAGAGGGTTGGTGGATGCCACATCCCTGAAGATATTCAAAGTCAGGCTTTTTGAGCACCTGATAGAGAGGTAGATGTCCCTGGTAATTGCAGGGGAGTCCGTCTAGGTGGCCTTCAAGGGTCCTTTCTGATGCAAACTATTCTGTGTTAATATTAATTTTGTCCCTGCCCATTCTTGCAGCGTTGCTGCACAGGATGAACTGGTCCTTGCTGATCATGCATTTATCACTCCTAGGGAAGGTTTAGAAAAGGATCACTGATGCCACATCACTTTGCCCATCAATTGTCAGCCCATGGTTCAGCACCGCCTACACATCAGACATGGCAATGATGCCTGAGAGAAGCTCAAATCTCACCCCTAACCCACAGCTGTGCCCACGTTTCTCTCAACACACTGATTTCCCATCAGCTACTACTCTCCAGGAAATCTTGATCCGCGCAGAACCTGCCCTAATGAGTGCGGGGGGAAATGGGGCTTTCCAATGCAAACAGCAGGCGGTTGGCTTGTTTGTGTTTTTCTTTCAGTGCAGTAATCTCTAGCAGGACAGTCTAGGAAGGCAGAGGAGAAACGTGTCTTCTGTGAAATGTAATTAACATGGTGATCTTCCTGTCACAAGGTATAATTCCAAATAGAACCCAAAGCACAAGAATGGCGCTATTTTGGGCTACGGGCTGTGCATTTCAAAACAGCGCAACGGGTTTGGTCTGTAACACTGAAGAAGGGCAGACGTCTCTCTGCCTTCCTGTTTAGGGCAGCGGTCTGGGATGGGCTGCCACAACCTATAATGACAGCTGGCCTGCTGCTCCTTTCTCCCTGTCTATAAATGCAATTCTCCAAAGAGTAAACATATGCCACAACATGCGCGTGCTTGTGAGCTTCAGCTGGACACAACAAACCCTGTTCTGATCTCAGGTAGTTGTAAAACCCACGTACAAACACTGCTCCCCACAGCCCTCACATATACGTGTCTGCATGCACAGCAGTGTGGGATGTTCCTGCAAGATTCTAGAAATCTCAGCCCACAGAGCTGAAAAAAACATCCACCACTTCCTACCCTGTTCCCCAAAGGTGCTACAGACATTACAGCTGAATCCTCTGATGTGCATTTCTCATGTCCAGGAACCTTCCTGGGAGGAGGTTTTTGGAGGAGATGATGCAAACCAATCCACAGTATGGGGAGAAAAGAGATGGCAGAAGTACCCCCAGATACGCCTGGCATGATGGGATTACTGGGGTGATGGAACACAGTGTGGTGGTGGGACATGGGGTGGAACCAGGAGCAGTGGTGGTGGAACAGGGTGGGGGGACCTGAGTATCAGTGGTGATAGTGATGATGATAGGACCTGGAGTGTTGGTGAGAAGATCTGGGTAGTGAGACTCAGGTGCTGGTGGCGCTGGGATATGAGGTGGGTTCTTGAGTGCTGGTGGTGGGACCAGGGTGATGATGGAAAGATATGGGGTGGTAGCAGGACCCAAGTGATGGTGGGACATGGGTTGGAACTTTGGAGCAGTGGTGGTGGTGGTACATGAGGTAGAACTTGGAGCAGTGGTGGTAGCACTATGGTGATAGTGAGACAGCTGGGGTAGTGGAGGGAACCTGGGGTAGTAGTGGACCCACCTGCTGCTCGCTACTGCTTTGGTGGCCCCGGCATTGCAGATCTCCAGACTGGGCTTGCTGTTTCCCAGGCTGATGGCCTGGGAAAAGGAACAGCTGCTGCCCTCCTGAAAAGGAGGGGAGGGGCTTCCTGGGGGCTAAATAGCTGTGGGGCAGGGAAGCCCTGGAGAGGTTTTGAGCTCCTCTTGATGCAGCTGTGTGTGTGTTGCCTTGGGAAGGAGTGACACCTGACAAAACTGGATGTTTTATCTACTGGGGCTGCAGCCAAAAACCAGTGCACGTGATGAGGAAAGTGATGAGATGCTGAACATGAGTGGCGGACAAGATGGTTTCTGCGGAGTACTGCAGTGTGGATGTTGGGCTTCTCTCCTGCATGTACTGCCTCAGTACAGTACTGCCTCAAACGCCACCTGGTGACAGCTCCCAACCCAGGGACACCACTGGGACCAGCCATGGAACGCGTCACAGCTCCATAAATCAGGGCTTCCCCCAGCATCTACAGTCCCACTGAGCCAGCGAGCACATTGTGCCAATGGCAATCATACTCTGCTGGAATGCCCCAGTAAGCAGCCTTTCCTCGGGAAACTTGGAAGGGTTGGAAGGGTTCCTTCCAACTCAAACAGTTCTATGATTCTATGAAACACACAGCTCAGCTCTGTGCTTTAACCCCGTTCCTAGATGGTGTGTAGGCTGAGGAGCGCTCGCCCACCAAAACGTTTGCCCACTAGATGGTGCCCAAAGCTCACTAGTGGCCATAGCCGGCATGGGGACGAGCTTGGGCTGGGGACGAAATAAGACAAATCGCAGCCATAGTGACAGAAATGCCTTTATTTCTTCAGAAGCACGATGAGGTTGGAGAGCTTTTCTCCCCACGGTTTTCCTTGGAAACAATGCTATCCTACACCACCGAGAGGGTGCTGCATCACCCCGACACTTTTGAGGGCACTCCTCAGAAGGATCCCTGGCCATGGGGATACCCTCTGACCTCGTCATCCTCTTCAGCACTGTCGCTGTGGCTGCCCCACTGCCCCTCATAAGACTGGCTGCTGTCGGCGCTCCAGGGGTCAGCGTGGGCTGCGTGGGGCTGCAGGGGGCTGCCCACCCCACTGAGGCCATACAGCGCCCGCTCATGCAGGCGCAGCCGGTCGGCATGCCTCACTTGCTCCACCTGCCTGGAGTGCTCCAGCTCTGTCAGGCCCCCCATCCTTTGCCCTCCATGCAGGTGGGCAAAGCCTCCTGTCGCCTTGCTGCCCCTAGTGTTCTGGGTCTGGGGGTAGGCGCTGCCCCACACCCAGGGGTCCCTTGGTACATCTGGGGACTTTCCCATGGCATTTCTTTTGTCCCCATTATAGGCTCCACTAGGAGCTGGCCTGGCCACCCCCAACACTCCAGGTGCTGGTGCTGCCCCTGGCCAAACCCTATCCCGGCGCCCCTCTGGGGCCACAATTCCCCCCACGGTGTTGGGTGCTGGTGCTGCCCCTGGCCAAACCCTAGCCCGGTGCCCCTCTGGGGCCACAATTCCCCTCACGGTGTTGGGTGCTGGTGCCACCTCTGGCCTCGCTGCTTGTCCAAGCCTGGCTGATTCTGGTCGCATCCTGGCCCTGTGCCTCTCTGAGGTTACTGTTTTTCCCACCATGCTGGGTACTGGTGCTACTTCTTGCTGAGCCCTGCTCCTGTGCCTCTCTGGGGCTGCTGTCTCCACTGTGCCAGGTGCCGATGCCACCTCTGGCTGGGTCCTGATCCCATGCCCCTCTGAGACCACCATTCCTCCCACCACACCAGGTGCTGGTGCCACCTCTTGTTGGGCCCTAGCCCTCTGTCTCTCTGGACCTGCTGTCCCAACCTCCCTGCTCTCTCCTTGTCCTGCAGTGGCCCTCTGGCTCCCTTTCCCAAATGGTGTGCTGGCAGCAGTGCTGCAGTCCCCTGTAGTCAGCCCTGAGGAGGCTGTACCTCTGGCACCCTGAGTTGTCATGGTAGCAGGAAGGCTATGCTTCCCCACTGGCCTCTGCCCGCTTCTCCCCTTGCCACTTTGGCCACCGACTGCCATGGTGACAGTGGCATCATCACCAGTTCTCTCCCGAGGGCTAGGGAGCCCCAGATCTTGTCCACTGTGGATGGCAGTGGCACCATCCCCACTGTTTCCCACAGAAGGGTGGCCCCCAAGCCTGCTGGAGGCACTGTCCCCGTGATGCAGGGTGGCCATGGTGGCTGATTCCTCAGGGTATCCCTGAGGCTTGGCCGTCACTGCCATAGGGATGACATTGGCCTCTCTGGTAGCACCAGCGCTGCCCACACTGCTGTCATTCTCACCCACTTGAATGTTGGCTCTTCCAATGAAAATCTTCACCTCATCTTCTGGAGAGATATGTGTTTCACCGTCCTGCCCCTGGGTGATGGTGACAGCGTCTACATCAGGGATGTATGCAAACTCATCTATGCCTTCTGCATCCACATGGACATCTTCCTTCTTGGTGACAGAAGTGATGGCAGAGTCTCCCGTCCCCATGGTGCCCGCTTGCCCTTGGTCGGGCTCAGTGGCATGGCTGCCGTCCTCACCCCAAACCCCTTCAGAATCGGTGGCCCCCTCCCTCCCTGCTGTCACAGCCCCATCCACCAGGACACCCAGTGTAACACCGTTACCACCAATGCCATCTCCATGAGGTCCACCAGGGCGGGTGCTTTGGGGGAGGCCATCTTCGCCATCGATGATCTCCCCCAGCAACATCGAACCCATGTCACCGCTGCCTTCCACACTGGTCAGGGTGGGATACACACCATTGCTGTCACCAATACTGGGGCGCAGAGCACGGCCTTCCCCTTTGCTTGCTGGAGTGATGTGGCTGTGGGGCTTGGGGCTGTCTTTGTCCTCCGGCACATGGCTGCTTCCAATACCTTGCCCCGGGGCCTCCCCATCCACCTTACCCAGCCAGCGGCCATGGATTGTGCCCTGGTGGTCACCTTCTTCTTTCTGTGGGGGCATGGGGAGGGTGAACACAGGGCAACAGGAACACCCCAGCATCCCATTCTGTGCCCCCATCCTGCTCACCTTGACCTGTGTCTGGTTTCTCCGCGTGAAGGAGTATATGTACCTGAATACATAGAAGCCGTGTTTGGTGTTGCAACCTTTCAGCAGTATCTTGGGTGAAAGAAAAAAAAAATTATTTCCTTCCATCACTTACGTGCCCAGTGTGTCTCCATCCCATCTCACTCAAGTCCTGCTTTTCTCCCTTTCCACACCCATTTTAGTGGAATGTGATCTACCTGGTGCTGTCCAGGGCAGTTTCCTCTTGCCCTGGCTGGAGGTGGCACCTGCAGGCAGGAAAGTATCAGCATTAGATGAGTATTCAGTGGGGTAATAAATGAAGTAATCAATGGGGTATATAATGGAATATTCCAATAGGTTAACTGACATGTTAGATAATAAAGTATTAGATGAAGTATTTGATGGGTAGTTAATAGGGTAGCTGATAGAGAAGCTACTGGGATATGTAACGATTTACTTGATGGGTCAGTTAATAGGGTATTAGATGGGGTTTTCAATGGGGTAGTCAACAAGATATTTGATGGGGATAATTAGGGAATATTTGAGGGGGTAGTATATGGGGTATTTGATGGGGTTATTGATTGGAGTATGGGTATTTGATGGAGTAGTCAATGGGATATTTGACAGGAGTGTTCAATGGGGTGTTGAGTAAGATAGTTAATGGGATATTTGATGGAATATTCCATGGGATGTTAGATGGGGTATTTGACTGAGCAGTTAATAAGGTAGCTGGAGTGTTGAACGAGATATTCTGTGGAGTATTAGATGGGATATTGAGTGGGGTATTCAGTGGGATAGGTAATAAAGTAGTTAGTGGGATAATTAATGGGATGTTGCATGGCATATATGATGGGACAGTTAATGGGGTAGTTAATGGAGTATTTTACAGAATAGTTGATGGGGTATTAGATGGGATATTGGATGAGCTATTCAAAGGGATAGTTAATAGAGTAGTTAATGGAGTGCTGAATAGGGTAGTTAGAAGGGCAGTTAATGGGGTACAGGACAGAGTGGTTGATGGAGCAGTTAGCAGGACATTAGATGGGCTATTCAATGGGGCATTGGAAGGGGCATTCCCGGAGGCAGTGCTATACTCACGGGTGTGGGCAGCACGGTGCCCAGCAGGCAGAGGCAGAGGCAGAAGAGGGCTGCGCGCATCCTGGCTGGCTCCTGGGGGCACAGCGTGACCCGCCGTGAGGTGCAGCCCTGTGCTGCGGACTGAGGGCAGGGGGGAGGGAGGTTACCTGTGCTGCTTGGAGCCCAGTTCTGCAGGCGATGCTGGGGGCTCTGCACCCTGTGCTGAAATTTAAAGTTGCCCAGGAATGCCCAGAGCCAATCAGCTCCAGCCCAGGGCCATTTGTCAAGGTCCGCGGGTGCTGGGGGGGAGTAATTTCCATCTAAAAATGTGCCTGTGGTGGCAGGCAGCTATCAAATGTTCCACCTGGCCGCACAAACAGAAAGCATGATGTATAAATATCTGCCCCAGGGCCACAATTGCTTGATAATTAGTGCGGCACCCAGCCAGTCCTGCTGCTGTGGGGACAGGGCCATGGGAATGCCGGGGCTGACGTGGGGACCAGGCCCTGACGTTGGCAGCCACCCCAGGGTCTTATTGGTGCGTTTGTGGTTGCGGGTCTGGGCAGGGTGCAATGTAGTGAGGTTATTGCCTGAGTATTGCCTTGCCTCTGCCAGTGGATGCTGCATTGATCCCACTGTGCCCCCAAACCACTTTTTTGGAGAGGACCACATTGAGGTGCTTTCCGCTGGCTGATACAAGGCAATGTGCAAAGTTCACACCCCAAACAACCAAAACCCCATGGTTTGCAGGGATCCCCAAGGCGTGCACAACATGTGGTCAGAAGCAAACCAAGCCTTGTGCACGAGCTTCACTTGTTGCTTTATTGCATTTCTGCGATACATGGATGACAATACTCAGGCCAGGGCGGTGTTGTGTGTTCCACCACTCGCTCACTGGCTGTAGTAGTAATCCTGCCCATAGATGTCATAGCCATGCCCCTTGTAGTAGCCGTACTCATCCTCATAGGCACGGTAGCTGTCCCCACGTGCTGGCTCCTCCTGGTCCCCATAGCTGCTCTCAGTGGGACCTTCGTCCCCACGGGCTCCCACTGTCACCTCATACTCCCACTGCTCCCCAGCTGTTGTGGCCTCAGAGTGCTGCTCATCACCCAGTGTGGTCGCCTCATCCTGTGCAGTGGTGGCAGCAGTAGTGGTGGCTTCAGCTTCCTCCTCCTCCTCTTCTTCCTCTTCCTCCTCCTCCTCCTCCTCATCATCCTCCTCCTCCTCAGCCACTGCAGTGCTGTTCCCATGGGGTGCTTCTGCCGTGGTGTTGGTGCTGGTCCCATTGACACTGACATCCTGCTCCTCTACCTCTTCCTCTTCCTCCTCTTCCTCCTCTTCCTCATCACTGTCCTCATCGCCCGAGTCACCCCGTGTGCCCTTCTGGCCCCCTTTGCAGCCCTGCAGCAGGGACAGGGCAATAAATAACCCAGCATCAGTCACACCTCAGGGCTCTGAATTCAGAGAGCTTACCTGATGGGTGGATGCAGCATCACCTCCCAGCCCCCCATCACTGGGGGTCAGACCCTCACCTGCTCCCTGAGTACCTGCATGGGACAGTGCCTGTGGAGTGAGGAGGAAACACAACAAGAGGCTCACACTCACCCAAAAAGCTGGGGGATGGTTCAGATGCAAGTCCCTGAATTTCTGCATGCTGGAAGCCTATACTCACCCCCCCTTCCTCCTCCTCCTCTGAGCCGTCCCCCTCTTCCTCCGAGGAGTCACTGCCCTACGTGAAGGGAGAGTAGAACCATTGCTATCAGTATCATGGGCATCACAGCCTCAGCCCAGCAGGGGCTTTTTGAGGCAATATCCCTGCACATGAGGCTGGGACCCACGGAACCCAATGGACCCACCTTGTAGCGATGCAGCGGCGGGTAGGCGTAGCGATACAGGTAGTACCGGTGCCGGCTCTTCAGCACCTGCCAGGAGAGGAAGGGAGTCAGCCCCACAGCTTGGGGGGCAGCAGTGCTCCAGCACCGTCGTGGCACAATCCTACCGCATTCTCCTCCGAGTCGCCTGCCCGGGCTCTGCGCAGCCAGCTCCTCACAGAGAAGGCAGAGGCGGTGGCCAGCAGGCAGGCAAGCAGCAGCGCCGTCCTCATGGTGCCACTGGGCCAGCACTGATTTCTTGTGGCCGCTGCCCTGTGGGTTATAAGGCAGTCGCAGCCCCCCCTCCCCGCCACAGCCCGTCACCGCCCTGCCCTGGCTCTGCCCGCCCAGAAAACCCCCAAATTTTGAAGTGCCCTGCTGCCAGAAGGGATGCACCACAGCACTTAATTGAGGGTCTGGCCAGAGCTGGAGGGTATAATAATGTGCTGGGCCTTGGTTAAAATAAATATTGGGAAATCTGGTTTGGGGATTGTTTTCTTTTTCTTTTTCTTTTTTTTTTTCTTCTTTTTTTTTGCCACCTCCCTTTTTGGGAAATTCTGCCACTGTAAAGCAACCCCCCCAAAAAAAAAAGAAAGAGTGACCTCACCACAGTCCCTTGGGTGAAAACATCGATGGAGAACAGGCTGAGAATGCAAGCAGAGGAGACTGCCTGGAGACATCTCTTTCTGCAACATGAGGAAGAGACCACATGGTCCCAACCTCCCATGGGGTGACACGGGCTGGGGATGCACTGCTTCCCATCAATGAAGGTCAGACCACGCTGATTTCTGTCCTTGCCTTCATCCCAACATCGGCTTGGATGTTTTGGGGAACAGTTCATGCCATTCCCACATCTGAGTGGGGCAGAGAAGTCCCTGTGGCCACCCAGAGGTCCAGTGGCCCTGGTACCCCCAGTGACCACCCTGTTCCCATCCCCAAAGGCGCAGCTGCCCATGGTGTCCCTGCAGTCATAATTACAGGGGACGCACAGGGCTGGCCACAGCTTTCAGCCAACACTGCCTCTGGCCAGGAAAAGCCACAAAAGAAATAAAAATAAAAGGAAATATCTTTAAAAAGCAGTGTGGTTTTCCATTGCCAGCACTGCACTCGCTGCTAAAGAGGTGAAAAATGTGGAGCTAGATGGGCAAAATAGGGATGGGCATCAACAATGGCGATGGAGATGGGGATGGAGACAAGCACAGCTTGCTGAGTTTGGAGTCTAAATTTAATTGGAGAGTGCTGCCAGGGGTGATTTTTAATGTAATTAGAGGGACACTGGTTTAAAAAAAGAACTTTGACTCTAAAAGCGCTGATTTCACCCAAGATCCCTAAAAAAAGCCGGGGCATAATGACCGCATACCCAGTGCCTATTTTAGCTGGCAAGGCAGAGCACGGTCTGGCACCAACCAGCCCCATGTCTCTGTGGTGCCACACGTGGGGCTCGGCCCCACAGAGCGCAACCCAACACCTACAGGCTCCACAATGGGCTCATTAGGGCAGGTGATGACGAACGCAGGGCCCCCCAGGAGAAGGAGGAGGAGGAAGGTGAGGAGGGCAGCCTGTGCTCTGCCCCATGGAGCCATGTCCCATCCCGGTGTTACCCAGCACGTTGCAGTGCGCGGTGGGTATTTTTGCAGCATGGTGAGGCGGTGCCATCTCCCTGCAGCTATGCTGGCAGGAAACCTCAGCACCAAAAATAAGCATAGCAAACACAGGCAGGAGCGCACAGTGCTTGGCTAAATGCATCAGGCCATAGGTATGAGCATCTGACTTGGCTCCTTGCATCAATTCAATCTGTGTTTTATGCCATTTCCCACGTTACGTGGCAGGAAGACAGGTGAAGGGAATTAACGCTATGTGCAGTGCTGCAGTAGTTCCGGATCCAGCAGCAATATGGAGCTGCAAGGCATGGACAAGGAGCTGAGCATGTCAGGAAAGTGTTTTTACTAAGAGGGGTTTGGAAGTTCATGCACCACAATGGACTTCGTGTGCTGCAAATAGACTTGGTGTATCATAGGGGCTGTGCTGTGCTGCAGCAGATCCCACACACATGAGAAACGTGGGTCAGCACCGGCTCTCAGCTGGCAGAAGGCTGGTGCTGGCACAGCTCTGCTCCAGATTCAGCTCTGATACACAGAAACCTGATCCCAGACAAAGAGTCAAAGCAGTGCCTCTATCCAGCTATGCACTGAAACCACTGTTCATGTCCCCTCTGCCCAGTCATGACCCCAAGTCGCAGAGAAAAGCAGCAGCAGAGCTGCAGCATTGGGGTCTGATGGTTTTAATGTGAATCAAGGACATACACAGGATACATTTCAGCATGGAGAGATAAGTGCCATGGACACAAAGATGTTACAATCGAAGGCTTTCTGTACATTTCTTACAAAATATTACATACACCCCCCCCCCCCCCAGCGTGGTATGATGTGCACCGGCCTGATGCTGTGTGTTGCTCCCAGCAACAAGGGCAAGGAGAGAGGGTTGGGATGCCCCCACCTGCAGGTCAGGACTCGGGATTCCCCACAGCTAGCCCCACCACTCACTGCCCACATGGCCAGCCCTCATTCTGTCTGTCTGCAGAAGCAGAGGCTGACCCAACTCCACCGCCACAAACAAATGATGCAGCAGTGCCATCAGTACCCATCCTGGCAGTCATCATCATCGAGCTCAGCAGCCTGCTTCCTGTGGTAGGCACCCGGCCGCCGCCTGCGGTTCTTCAGGCTGCGCAGTGAGCTGGCATCCCCACGGCTGGTAGCCTCCTGGGAATGCTCATCATCATCATCATCATCCTCCTCCTCCTCCTCCGGGGAAGCACTGTTGGTGCTCTCTGTGGATGTGCTCTCTTCACTCACTGTCTTGTCCTCCTCACCCTCACTGTCCTCCTGGCTGCCCTCTGGGGATGAGCTCTGGCTCTCAGTTGACGCACTTGGAGCATCCTCGTCAGGCTTGGAGACATCTTCCTCTGTCTCCAAGCTATCCTCTTTGGACCTGCTCTGTTCCTCCTCAGTGTCAAGGTCAGACATTGTACTTTTGTTCTCTGCAGACGCCCGCTCCTCCCTGCTGCTGCGTCCTTCGGGTGTGCTCACCGCCTCCTCTGAACCGTCCTCTGCAGACTCCTCATCTGATGCCTCCTGTGATGGGCTGTCCCCATCCTCCTGGGACGGGCTGTCCCCATCCTCTTGGGACGGACTGTCCTCCTCTTCCCTGGATGGACTGTCCCCATCCTCCTGGGATGGACTGTCTCCATCCTCCCTGGACCTGCTGGCCTTGCTGTTCTCCTGTGAGTGACTTTTCTCCTCACTGTCTTCCACAGAGTTGGTGTCCTCAATCTCTGGGGATTGGCTGTCTTTGTCCTCCCAGGGGCCGCCAGAGTTTCCCCGGCTGCGATGCCTGCCACCCAGGCTGTCGAAGACTGAGGGGTCGTCACCCTGCATGCCTTCACTGCCCAACCCAATGCTCTCCGCATCATCCTCTTGGCTGCTGCTGCTGCCTTCTCCCCACCTGGAGCCGCCATGGTATCGGATGTGGCGGCGAGGGGCCATTGCACTCTCACTGCTGCTGCTGCTGCTACTGTCACCATGTCCTCCAGTGTCCCCAGTGCCGTAAGCAGGCCCTTCACCCTCTTCCTTATCCTCATCAAAGGTGTCATCCCCGCTGTCATCCTCCTCATCCCCAGGCCAGGCAGGCAACCCGTTGTGCTCAGCAAGGTCTCGCTCCACATGGTTCCCAATGGCGACATCCGCATCACCGGTGTCCCATGGCCCCACGCCAGTACGGAGGTGTCCATGGTCTTCATCGCCCAGGAGAGGACCCAGTGCATTTCCCACATCCCCTGGTGCTGCATCCTGTGGGCAACACAGCACGTTGGGTGCCCAAGCATCACCGCATCCCTGCTGCTCCCAACCACAGCCCCACAGCACTTCCCAGCTCACCCCTTGGGCTTGGATGATGGGAGTACAAGGCAGAGGGACGGCCCTCCTTAGCCATGGGCAGGAATGACTTTGGTCTTTAACAACTTGTCATCTCGTACAGATACAAGTATATGGAGGCTTTGAGCTCAGGGAAGCTCAGGCCACAGCAGTTTGGAGCACAGAAACTCCTATTTTTTATTAGTATGAGCACAGCATGGCATATCAGGTTAGCAGCAATGGCATGAACTGAAGCCCCTCCAGTTCTAATGGCCCAAAGCAGTGGGCAAAGCTCCCAGACCCACAGCACTGCTCCCCATCGACACCTCATAAAGAACACCCTACGTCCATGGGCACACCACCTTACCTCAGGCTCTTGGGACACGGAGAGATGGCCAGGCACCTACACACAGAGAGAAAACCTTGGGTCAGTTTGGGCCAGAGCCAGCATGTCTGAGAGGAGAGCCAACTGGATTCAGAGCAGAATCAGCTGGTTTCAGGGCTGTGCTGGGTACTTACAGGGTGGGCGCGGGCTGCAGCCCACAGCAGCAACATCAGCAGCACAACCTTCATCCTGCAGCTGAGGTGTAGAAGCGTGTGGTGCTCGTGCTGCCGTCCCGGCACGGCTGCCTGGCATTTAACTGCTGCCCGGGGCCATGGACAGCCAATGGCACTGGGGCCAGGCACGGAGGTGTCAGCGGGAAACAGCCTCCCACGCTTCCTCCGGCGGGACGCCAGCCCCAAAAACAGCTGCTGGTGGGGGGGGGGGGGGGAAGGGTGTTGAGCAGCCAGCCCGGCCCTGTGTTTTCCTTGCTAAATTTACCCCCTCAGTGCACACTTCCAGGCGTGACGTGCAGGAAATGAGGCACCCACACGGGACCCCAGCCCTCCCTCGGATGTATAGTGTGGGGCAGGGGGAGGGAACAGCAATAGGCACAGGTCCTTATGGGCATACAGTGTGTGGATGTATCAGCGGATGGATACATCCAGCAGTCACTCCAGGGTCCCCTGTGGCAAAGGACTGGGACCAGGACCATGCCCATGTCCCTGGAGTGTTACGTGCATTTTCTGTATCACACCATTACACCCCTCCTCCTCCTCCGTCTCACCCTGCAGATGAGGTGGGATGTGTTTTCCTCTTGACCTGTGACCAAATTATACCCCTGGCCCCCGCCAGATGTGAGCATATATCACCAGTCTTATTTTAGGCGCCTCGAACAATTACCACCTGCTGTTGTTTGGCTCTTGGCGTCTGGCCTGCATCTAACTCAACCCCTGAAGACCCAGCGCCAGTGAACACAAAAACAGGCAATGCACAGCCAAACCCCTGGAAAATAGAACACAGCTCAAAATTGGACTAAAATGCCCCAAATTCCAGGCATAGACTGCAGCACCTCTGTTCACCACCTTTCCCCAGCATGGAGATACCTGAAAGACAGCCATGGTTGTCACTGAGCTCTGCCATCATCATGCTATCCTCCAGCTAAACGCATTGCTGTAGCTGGGCAGAAGCATGGCCACAGCCACATTCTCACACCCTAGTGGGAAGTAAGCAGAAGTGTGCCCACCTGCAGCAGGTGATGGCCCTCTGCTCCCCCCAAAAATGGTGCAAATAGAATCATAGAACCATTAAGGTTGGAGAAGACCTCTTAGATCCTAAGTCCAACCACCAACCCATTCTCCATGCCCACTGACCACGTCTTTCAGCACCACATCTCCACAGTTCTCAAACACCTCCAGAGACGGCAGCTCCACCATTTCCTTGAACCCTGAATCCTAAGCTTTGAGCGTCCGAGGGACAAAAGAAACATAAATACAGTGAATGAAAGGGCAGCTGGAAATGCTGCTCCCAACCTCTGAGCATCTTGACCACATGCACTGATCCAACCCTAGCCCCTAGGCTGGTGTTCATGTTTCTGTTCACGCCAGCTGTCTCACATCACCTCTGGGGACCATGGGGTCCAAGCATGGTGACACTACGTGCACTGTGTTTCGCTGGACAGAAATGCTCACCAAAAAGTGCTTTATGCATAACACTGCACATTACACTGCTCCAAATGCCTCATTAATGCAAACACACACGCACACCTCAACACCAAAGCACATCGTGACATCTCACATCTACTGAATCAATATAGCTCAGAAACTTTCAGGTTACATCTGTATCTACCTGGTGCTGGCTGAACCACCCTTCCTGTTCTTGGTTTTGTTTTGCTTTTTTTTTAATATGTCTTTTTAAGAATTCACTCCACTTTGGCCAATATAGAGCATTAGTTGAGTCAGTCTGGCTGAGGGGCAAAAAATAGCCATCTCTCTGTCTGCACTTTAAAATAGCTCCTCCCCAACGGGAGTCAAATGTTCCCGGTTCAGGAGGGATGTTTATTTCTCTCCCTCTTTTTTAAACTTTTAATTTCAGCTTGCGTAGGCAATGTGGTCAAACACAACACAGCCCAGCACTGCGGCTCAGGGGCGACAGACTCAAGTCTCTAATACAGAGAGCACAGCACACCCCGGAGGACCAGCACTCGATTTAGCAGTCACATACAGGCAGCAGCAGCAGTGTTGGAGCCACTTCCCGCTCATCACCTCCATACGTTGAGAGTATGTGAGGATCTGAGTCCTGGCTGCTGTTCTTTCTCATCTCCCGTCAGGAAAATCACATTACAAACACAGCTAAAACAGGTTTATTCAAAAGTGATAATGAAAAAAAGAAAAAAGAGAAGCAACGCACAACAGCAAAGCGATGATTGGTTTTGACAAACAGAGTTCCCCCTTGGGCTGGCTTTGTGCTACGCAAATAGGGAGCAGATCAGTGCTGCAAGGAGGGATGAGCCCAAGGAATCCGTGTGGCCACAGCCAGGAATTCCTACAGTTATCTTAATAAAGAGCAAGAAGGGGGGAGTGGGACAGTGGGATTAGATGAACCATGAAAGCACCTCGCGTGTATGGCTCTACCTTAGTTGTAGAAATGTAGATGATGAAGTAAATAGACTTAAAAACCCTCTTCTTCTTTTTTTTTTAATCTTATTCTGCATGTGCTTTTTTTCATTTTCTTTTTAATGAGATGCCAAATTCTGTTGACATTTTTCCCCTCACTAAATTCTTAGGAAATAGCTCAGCTACAAAACACTCACTGTCAGCTCATATGTATTTATTGTCACGCTCTCACTGAGTGTGAGTGTAGACAGGACACAGGAGAGTGCCATCTCTCATTAAGAAGTGTAAGTTTTAAATTTCAGAAAGCCATATGAACACTTACTTAACTCAGACTGTAAGAATTCCAGTCTGAGTTCTGGACGCCCTCAGGGGGCATTTGAGTTTTCATTCCTTGGGGGTAAAATGGACAGATGGAATCAAACACTCATTTAAGTTGGTACAGAGGACAAAATTTAACCCCGCATATAAACCAGCATTATACAGTCCCTATAATTACCACTGCAATTATGCTCATAGCTCCATCAGCACTGTCTGGTTGAATATAGACCCAAGCCCCTAGCAAGCCCTAGAGAAGGCACAGCAGACTCCAAATGCTTTCACACCATTTTTTCCCTTCAGTAAATTTTTAAAAAAGAAAAAAAAAACAACCAAACAAAAAAAAACAACAAAAAAGCATAGACACATAAGCAGATATTACGGATACAACCACTGGTGTATTTACACAATTTCTTTATGTATTCTAAAGACCATCTGAATTTCAAGGTGTTTGCATTATTCCTAATGCAGTGTAAAGCAAATCTGACAGAAAAGTCAGGTCTTTGACTTGCTTTATTTCAGAACCAGGACCGACTTGACATACAGGAAACCTGTGAATCCATCCTTTGCACCTGGTATGCAAATGGTGGCTCAACACCACTCCCTTGTGGGCACAGGTGTGAAGGTCTATGACTGCACTGAGCACACAGATGAGCACAGCTCCAATAACAACAAACCTGTCCATGCAGTTCCTCCTGCCTGGCAATAAAACACAAGACAGTTGTTTTACTAAGACAAGCTTTCCCCAGCTCATCCTCCTCTTACTTTGCTGATGTTCATTTACCAAGTGTTCAGTCCCAAGTCTACAGACATCAGAAAGCATCTTGCCACTGACATGGCTCCTGGGCACACAGGCAACAAGCACAGCCCTGAAATGCAAACTGAAGCCAAGGCAGCAATGCAAACTGTGGGGACTGCTGGCATAACACAGGTATGCAATGAGGTCTTGACCTTCTACTGCCAAACCACCATAAATACTGCCACACACCTTGCCAGCTGTCACCTCCCCATCAGACACACTAGCATCCAATCCATTGTCCCACGCCAAATACAGGTGGGGATAAGATATAATTATTCAGTTTCCAAGTGATATCATCTAATGAGTCACAACAGTAATTTTGAGGTTGCAGTCTTCCAGGGAAGCAGCCACTTGGCTTCTTTCCCCCCCTATACTTAACCCTGACAAGCACAGCACCTCTTCTTGGGCCTGGATCTATCCATCCACAAACAAAAGCATTCCCTACAATGACCCCTCTGGCTTGCTATACACATTCCCAGTAAAACCAGTCAGATATTGCAAAGAGATGTTTGTGGCGTACCATAAAGCTTTGAATAAATAAGAAAGGTCATCTTTTTTTTAAATGCACAACAAAAGGAAAAAACATAAGCTCTGAAAGCTCACCTCTCCCTTCAGACGCTGACTAGCCGACAGGACAGCAGAATTTCAACTCCAATAGGCATCAATCAGTTTCCAGGCAGAGAAGCAGAGATAAAAGAGAAAGGGATTTATAGAGTTTCTCATGGTATTTTGTCAAAGTTTTATTTTCTGCATGGACTACAGAAACAGGGCTTGGCAGTGATATCGTTCCTTTTTTTTCCACTTGTTTTGATTTATTACCAATAAACTCTGTAGTTGGCCATACAGAAGTTAAGTTTTTGTACAGTGTAGGAGTGGATCCAGCTGCATCTAGGTCCTTACCTTTGTGGTTCAGGGGTTAAGAGAGCAATGAGGTCTCCTCATGACACAAAGGTAGGGCCTCCTGTACAAAGATATTGAATCTTTGTGCAGTAAATAATCAAGAGCATCCAGCCATCTCCAAACTTGTTAGACCACCATGTTGCATTATACCAATAAACATAGTCCTGCTTCTCTTGCAAGTGAGGTGCACAGTATAGTTGTTTCCACACACAGCAGTACAACTTGCAGATTTTCACACATATACCAGCTCCCTCTGCTAGCATCATCACTATCTGAGAGATGGCACAACCATGGCAACAGCACTAACACAGGTAACTCAGGAATTATGCAAGACTCCAAGATTTCAACTGATTTTTTTAAAAATTACTTATTATTATTATTTTCAATTTAGAGCTTGGCTTTTCTCTCTTTTTCTTTCTTTCCCTCCACAGACTTGCATGCACATTGCACAGTATACTGAAACAGCTCTGCAAAACTTAGCAAGGACCAGCATGCTCCTTGCTTTACTTGCTTGCAGCCAGGCAACATGACTGTCCCAGCTGATCCCTTGTTTAGCTCTTTTGGGGCCAGAGTGACAGAAACTATTGCACCCATTCCCTTTGGCACCCCTCCCCCTGAAAGGCTAAATACGCCCTTCCCACACTATTGCTGAGCCCCACTGGCCCAGAGCCTGCTAGCACTGAATGCTTTTTCTCATTTGATTAATTCAGCAGAATTTCACTAATTCATCCCCCAACCTCTGCACCTCATCCAGTGGATGCCCAGGACCGTGCATCATTCCGT